ATTGGGTGCGGAAATATTTTTTTATTAACTTTATTACAGGGGAAATCATAGTTTTTCTTTTGTTTACTCTAGGGAGTCTTCTGAGATAACGTATGCTATCTGTTTGGACTGCGCACCTTCTCTAGGTTGCTCATCTTAAAGAAGGGCCTGTGAGAGCAACTCACGCAACTATCATTAGAGCACGCACCGTAGCTATCGATTTTTTCTCATATCTGATTGGTCCCCTGTCGCTGACGCCTAATCATCCAGCCGACTGAATGAATACTCTGTAGCCTTGCAGTGACATGCTTGACTTGTACTTGTTAAATACAGTTCTCGTCCTGTCCAGTTGTCTCCTTTTCTTCTCTCGTGCTGGTATTCGGGACAACAACTAGGCGAGCTCAGAATGGGTGCTATTTTAGTCGGTAAGTTTAACGCAGTCAATTTGAAAATCCCAGACAAGCATAACACCAACTCACCAGAACTTTCCACTTTCCTGAGCCTGCTTCACCAAAATTCATTACGCTCTTCCAGGTGACTTCAGATGACCCCGAAAAGTGATCCAGCTTCCTTGGTTTGAGAAGATCCATGGTCATGCCGCCGGGACTGACAAGGGTAACCTGAAGATGCCCACGATGTTTGTGCACCCATTGCATATGAATCGTGACAATTTCCAAGCTGTCCACCATGCAGGACTCCTTCCGTTCGCTTTCAGATGCCAGGTATCCTTTGGCCTTTGGTATGTTGAAGGTAAACGTCGCCGTCTGGCCGGCATATATCTTTTCAGATCTGAAAGTAAACGAATGTAATTTTAACGGAATGTCATGTAATTAAAATGACATACAGAGCTACTGCAAAATGCAGATTATAAAAAATAGGGAGATCATGATATAAGAAAAGAAAGGAATAAACTTATCATAAATTTGCCTTAGATAGCAGCCACAGGGCAATAACCAATGGCAAATATTGCAAACGGTTGCTGAAGCTAGAGTGACTGTCTGCCGACAAGGACGTTTGTTGTCCTTATATTCTACAGCATACAAATAATACAGTTTAAATATAGAGACTCTAATCAAAACGGACTTGTAGAGAAACGAAAAACATCTTTCCTATGTTTCCAATTGTGCCGATTTTTTATGACTGCACTATCAAAAATACGTTGAAAATTAGTGTATCGGCCGTTACAACAATAAGCGACGCATGCAGATTTGGATTCAATTCCACAGAGGAACTAGTTATACGGCAAAGTAAGTTAAAGTAGTGCACTTCTTACGCCAGAAGTCCCAGCATTTTTCCTACGGAACTGGTGATATAGGAGTTTTGGGGGTAAGAAAATAGGATGGGCAGTCAAGGGAATTTGTAGAAATAAGTGTTAAGTGGAAAAAATGTAGTTGTATTGGTTTGGCGTGGCCACTGTGAGTTAGTTGTTCCGCACGTAAATTGAAGGTTTGCGCGGCGCTGAGCGCCGCTCATTTTACTTATCTTACTCCAGAACGGTAATTTAGACCTCATGTACGTTGACGTAGACGAACTCCTAACGACCAATTCTATTTTTTCAGGAATATCGAGAAACCTGCATTTTGATAATCAGACCTTTTCGCAAAAGGTTTACTGATGGTACACATTAGGAAAATCCCTAGACATAAATCAACAACAATTCCCGATACAATAAAAAAAATGCATATAGCATTTAGTTAAGTACATTCGACTGTCCGTCCTAATTTCCCACCCATAAAACCGCTATAACCCCCGTTTCCATGGGAAAAAATCTGGGACTGAGGTTATATGAGGGGCACTACTTAAACTACTGTTACCAGTTTTACCACAAATGCCTGGTTTTATTTGACTAGATCGGACTAGGTGTCATCATTAAGCATAAGGTGTCAGATAATGAACCCGAGTGACTACTAAGACAGCAAGTATATGAAGTCGTCTATCTGATCTACTGCACATGCGGATGCAGCAACGACGTCTGGGAAAGTAGAGGACTTCTCAAGAAGGGAATTACTGAACAGGCGACAACAGTATGGAAAATGATACTAATTCTCAAGCTACAGCAGCAACATATTCAATAGTCAATTTCCATGTGCGTGTCATAATGACTTTATCCTATAAATACTGCAACTATCAGTGTATGAATTACCCGTTTCTGCTATTTTTTCTGACTTTAGATCACAACGGATTTCAAATCGGCAGGCAAATAAAAAAATCATGTCCCAGTGATCACATCTGCTTCTGCACAGTTACTTCATTTAACTCGCATTTTCCCTGACATTAATAATATCGATCGTAACATGTGACGAAATATATGTGTTTGAAAATGCGATATTTCTACATTCTGTCCACAATATGAGTCGTTAAGGCATTTTACACTGAATGCAGGCAATATATGCGAATGTGTTTATTGGTAATATGCAATCTTGTTGAGTACATTTAAATTATTAATTTGAACAAAAATAATTTCAGTTGAGCATACAATTAAACTGTGTCTATAATATATTCTGCATGTTATTGTGACGTTAACAATATTATTTTCGACGAATAACTCCTTTGTCTAATATTTGCGAAGACATTTACTAAGAGGTACAACCAAAAACAATTCTTATCATTATGTTTGCTTTCCGACTGAATGTTCGGGCCTCTTGGGGAAGATAAGCACGTAAGGATTACCTAAATATAACATTGTAGTTAAAAAAAATTATAACTTACTTCTTACTTCCTTATAGTTTAGTTGTAGTTCACTTTAATTTCTAGGCTTTTCTATTTAATTTAATTAGTTTTATTTCAGTTGGTAATTTACTTAAGTTTAAATTTCGTTAGCGAAATGCGGTTACTACATTTTTTGTCCTCTTGTTCCGTATTAGAAGCTCTTTTAAGTTATAAAAAGGAAATAATCCTATCTTCACTCACTTTAGTTTAATTTCGAAAATAAGATACAGCTTCGATGTACATGCGCATACAACTCACGGCTACCATTTGTATAATTCATGTTTTCTATTAGTTAAATTTTTCGTCTTACTAATCGCGTGTTTCTTCTTGCCGAACGTTAGGTTATTTAAATAATTGTTCCTATTCTATGCAATTTTAGTAAGCTTTGCGGTATTTTATTTTTTTCCCTGAAACGTCCCACCCGTATAACCCATTTTATACGTCTATGGGGTTTTTATTACCGATAAACCAGATTTTATTAAAAGTTGTATTCAGGATAGATTCAATTCGTTGGGTATCATGCTTTAATGATTAACAGTAGACGATATAAGCCAAGAATTTACTTTCGGTTAGGATGTTTTGGGCTTTTTGAGGGACAAAAAGTACATTAAGCATTCTAATTATTATGATAATAGAATATCATC